CACTCGTTCTGTCATTGATAGATGCAATGCTTGTCTCCGGACTGGAGGTCATCATTTTGAACAAAACATTTAATGTAATAACCAATTTTGATTATTGTAAAGCAATAAAGAGGATATACCTTATTTCGACCTTATTTCGACCTTATTTCGACATTATTTATTCATACAGTTCTGTAATTTCATAAGTAAATATCTCTTAAAAAAATAGCGTTAGCGAGCATACGTCCAGAGGAAAATTTTTGTTTGTTTTCAGGTCCTGAATTTATATTTTAAGTTTGGCGGTTTAACCCGCCAGGGTATATACATATACATATATACATATACCCTGATATGTATATATATAATATATACATATATATATGTATGTATATATATATGTATATATATATATGTCTATATTTTTATCAATAAAAAATTTTGTTATATATATAATGTAAAAAAATCGTCGGATATGTCGTACTCGCAGTAACACCGAAGGGTTAAATTGGCCATCAGTATTAAATTGGATTTCTGTAAGGAAGGCTTGCGACTCGCGTGGCCAATCGTTTTCCGCGGCTCTCTTCTCGAATGACTGCCGACCGAACGAAATCGAAACGCTTTGCGGCGAACGCGACGACGGCGGAGCTTACGTACCTGTGCCGGGCATAGTCATGATCAATTCCTGATGGAGCGTGAGGCCACCCGCGGACAGACCGGAGCCCAGATTCACACCCAGCACGCCATGCTCCTTCTCGTACCGCTTGAGATCTTGCGCATCCTTCGCTGCTGCACGTGTGCCAGCGTGTGCGGCCAGCGACGAGGTGGGTAAGAAGCAGAGGGAAAAAGAAAAAAAGAAGATATGCGCCGCTTCAGTTTTCTCCCGTCCTTTTTCTTTCTTTTCTCGCCGGGGCTTCCTCGTGCTCTCCGGCCGCATGCCTCTTCGGCTTCACCCGCCCGCCCGCCCCACGCGCCCGTGGCTCTACGTAGTTTAAATTTGTATAGGAGCAGAAGCTGGCCGAGGGGTGTACGGACCACTTAGCGAGGAGGTGCGAGAATCGTCACCGTACCTACACTCCGGACTTCTAAGCGCGCAAACACACGGTCTTGATACGCGCTCGTCCGCAAGTACACACATGTGTATTACGCATACACGCACGTGTCATGCTGCGTGCATGAGCGTATGTGGCACATATACGTGTACATTACACGTGCACATGTGAACGTGTGTCGTTGTATCGCGGCGAGGGTCTCTCAGATCAGTACGCCCACACTGCAGCTCCGTGTCAGTGTCAGATCGCGGGTATATATCGCACGTCGTTGTGCATTGTCAAAGATGCTTACGTAATGAGGTAAACTAGTTTAGTCAGGTACGACCGCGACGTGGACACACGTCTTCTGCGTCATCAAGGAGGAAAAGAGGCGCTCGTTAAAAATTTCCATCCGCGGAGAGCGGACGAATGCAGCGGTCGACGGAACAAATGCAGCGATGGAGCAGTTGCGTGAAAAATGGGAAAAATTTGCAACAGCGGAATAACTCGTACGAAACGGCTATTATTACAGTTTCGACATTTATATTGACATTTATAAGCGTAAAATTTTATATGCGACATTTATGAGCGTTAATTTTCTGTAAAATTAGTTATTTGACGCAAAGGTTCTCCTGTTGGACAAATCGATCTCATTTTTTTTTCTAAATTTCTGTATTCGGATATTAAAACTGTTAAAGAACAATGAAGAGTATTATTTTCCATTGCATGAAAAAGACTTCGTGGAAGATCCGTCCGTTGCATTTTACACAAATTCATTATTTAAATATTTTATTTAAATATGCATACGTTTAATAATAAAATGAATGCGGAATATATATAGAATATTCTATTATAGTTTAATTTGTGGCTGTAGATATGAGAAGTTATATAGAGATGCCGGGAATCGATATTAAGCTTTCGGACCACCATGTAGTAAAAACTTAACTCTGAATGAATATCTCTACATGAATGAATTTTATGACAGGTTATTTTATGACAGATCCTTTTATTTGTAAAACTTAATGATTTTATTTTATTACACAGAATTTGTGTGTGTGTGTGTGTGTGTGTGTGTGTGTGTGTGCGTGTGTGTGTGTGATGGGCTCGGTATTTACGAGCCTCCTGATTTGATTAAAAAATTCAGGTTGTTACGTGGATCCTTTTGTCTTCATCGAGACATTTTCCGTAAACAGTATAATGATAAACTCTGCTGTACAAAATTCGCGTGCAATCACAGTGCCGTACGTGAATCACACGCTGAAAGAAAAGCGTTTGGTATTTGTGATAATAATTGAACAGTAAAATAATGGTTAGGAGTTCCATTTTTTATAATTATTACTGCTATAACGTTAATAATAATAATTATATTTATAGTTCTACCAAATAAATATACTATAGATGGCACCGAAAATGAGCATACATTATATAGTTAAATTGTGCGGTAATCGCATTTTTTTCCATTTCTTTTCTCTCAGTGGCAGAGTTCCATAATGCGTCTCCTAATTACAAAGAGAAAAGTTTCTTCTTTAACATTTACTTTGCGTAATTACACCCGTATTACTTCGAGATACTTTCCCCTCTTGTTAAAGATTCAGAATGATCATTTAATCCCGCATTAATTGACCGGATTATCGAAGATCATAATCAAATTAAAACGGTAATCGCTAAAGAATCGCGTGGGACGCGGCTAGGCATTCGTTTTACATGTGTATTTTTTTTCCCTCGCTTATGGAGTATCGCGTAATTCAGGATGCCGTGAAGCGGCTGTATAGGAAAAAAAAAACAGAATTTTTATAACGCGCTCGGCTGTGCGTTTATCGACATTTGAAAACCTGCGTGATTGACAGGCCACCCGGCCGCTTGAAACGTCTGAATAATAAAGTCATAAATCACATTACTATCCGGAAATGTCGTGACAGACGTATTTATTCGCGTGTCACGCTCGCGAGCCCGCTGCTGTGCCCGCCTTGTCTCAATGGACGGCACCGCCGCGCGAATGCACCAAATGCAATTAACGTATATCATAAAAAATTTTAACGGACACACTTTAAGTGCATGCAGCGCGCGAGATGCGCGCGGGGCCCCGAATCTCATTTTTTGATAAATTGAAGGATGGTAATTGAAGAACGTATCGACGACGCGGGCAGTCTGCAAATCGGCCAGCCGATTTAGTAAGTATACGTTTGATCTTATTTGACGGAGGATGAAAAAAAGAGAGAAAAAGGGAAAGATAAGCAGTTTATATGAGAAACAAGCGCGCGACGTCGGGCATATGACGTCCATCACGCTCGCGTAAACTCACGGTATAATCACTTCGGACGGCATGTACGACGATCGCGATCGTTTGCAATTAAGAACTTAACGAAAGTCGATGGTTTCGAAAGGAACTCTTTCGCCGTCAATTCACATATGCGTTGTCCTCGGTATATTCAATTCGTTCGATAATCACAATAACGTTAAGTCGAAATCAAACGAGAATCGCAGTGTGTAAATCATATGAGATGACAGAGCAAATTTGACGAAAAAAAAATCAACGCTTAACGCTTAACGCGAAAAAAATGGAACTATAACTTTCTTTTAATCCGATTAACGTGTAGCGCTTTACTCAGTTTCTCGCCACCTGCAACATTCTAACTCTCTAAACCGTTCCTCAACTTCTCGCGTAATGTAATCAGTGTTGAGGTAATTAAGATCATCAAACTCGAGAAGCGGCTTTCTTGAGATGGAGGAGATCGAAGACGTACAACGTCGCGTGTTACCGGTGCGCATCTCACTGTATTCTTTTGATATTTTACTTTGGATTTCGTACCCTTTCGATTTCTTCGATTTATAATTCTAGAAAATTAATTTGTTGCGAAAGAAAAATTTTGCCTAACTCAACAAACATTGTAAATTAACGTAATTTACGATTTTATCACAATAAAAAAAAACGATACAGTAATAATAAACAATTAGCATTAAAGTATAGAAGTCAAGTAATTAAAAAATATACGAAGTAAAAGTCAAATAATTTTGTTAATTACATAATAATCGATGTTTATTTTTTATAAAAGATTTGCAGCTACTATTTATATCATGATTTTATCATGCAAATGCCGCACAAAAATATAAGAGAAACTCAAAAATAGTATTAAATATTCTTTGTATAAAAATTAATTAAAGAAGAATTAAACAATAAGTGCGACAGATCGATTTGTGAATAACACAACTAAGTAGGGGAATGTCTCAGCTAGATCTGCTTAATAATATTTCAATGTAAATTTATGTACATATCCAGCTTAATTAGAATTAGTTTTTGCACATCGCGCGATACATAATGATAAATAAAAAATTGATAGGTATAAGAAATGCGACTTTATGAATATCTATCTATCAGTATAAATTAATAAATATTTCGTAGTAAATTACACGATATTAATTGCAATCCGCATGCAGTCACGACAGGATATTCACAGTGGATTAGCCGAACGAAACAGTCCCTACGCCAACCGACGGGTGATGTCAAATTGATTAAAAGGAATTCGGTTTCATTCGAGAATTTATCGTTTTTGTAAGCATGCGAAATCACACATAAATGCGATTAGAAGTCAGTTTCAGAAAAAATAATTTCACGAATTACGCGAGTGAAAGTAAAAGTTCGCGCATTAAGCGGCGCAAAGTATAATTGTCAAATATTAATAACAATTATTTGGCGACAGATTACGATTAATTTTCGCTCGTTTTATTAATTTTCGCCCGTTTTTTTATTCGCTATCGATAGTTGACATTTAACCGTCATTTTCTACGTATATCTTTGCCGGCACAATATTATCACGTTATGTCGATACACGTATATTTATGTTGTAGAATTTCACGGCTCGAATTAACTTTAACGGAGCGACGTAAATAGCCGTTTTGCTATATATAAATAGTAAAATGCGCACGTGAAAGATTTAGGAGATTTGTAATTATATATAACTAAATTTATAATCGAATCTATTTAAATAATTAAGATTTAAAAATGAACACTTAACGATATAATTCTTTTCGTCGGATTTTACCTTGAATGCCCTTTACTATAATAGCACGCGCGCTTACAATTAGAACCGGGAGCAGTGCTCGTAGTGCTCGTAATAATGTCTGATTAATTAACGACGTCACTTCCAATTGCGATTGTTAATTGTAGCCGACCGACATGATAATGCCACGTTACAAAAAGCTGATCCACACGGCAAGCTTAAAATAAACTAGCTCCCACCGCTATAAAAGCTGTGAAGAAACGTTCTTCTTATGGGACACCTGATGCTACAGCGGATGTTCGGCGCCGCGCGCTTGAAATCTAAGACTGAAGTATCAAAGTTGAATACTATTATCATATTGTTATTCTGCTGTCACACTGTCTTTAGATTAACAACGTTCAGCATCATTACTTTCCAATATTTCACAAAATCGAGAAACGGCGACGAAATGCGCTAATAATAATTGCAGTATTTATCATGACAATGTCAGTTACAGATGAAATATATTATTATTATTATTCAGTTTCACATTTCTTTTCAATTCTTTTACTATATAATTAGAAAAATTTAGTGCTTTCGCTGGTACCGTTGTTAACACATTAGGTAAAGTCGGCCGTTGCTATTAAAATTGATGCAACCTACGACGACTGACACTTAATCCTGAGAGTATTTGATCCTCCCCTCCCCCCTCCTTCAAACACTTCACAATGTCTTCCACGATTAAGAAATTGTTTCAATTCGATATACGGAACACTGGATTTGTAAATCGGAAGCGACGGCGCGCGTGATACCGTCGAGACATCGTTGGCTTCCAAATAAAAAGCCAAATCACCGGTTAAAAAAGTTTAAATTGGTGCTCACGATCTAAATGTGTTTGCTATATGTGACTGATAACGAGCGTGGTAATGATGTTTCACTCATTAGATGCCGCGTGGTCCGCGTGATCACTTGTGACATATCAGATAACTGAAACATGATTAACTCTTGCAACGCCGAAAATACGATTGTAATAATCGATACGATGGACTTGGCCGATACTTAATGACTTTAATTTTAATTCATGGCTAAAAATAAAACCAATTTTAATAATAAGTTTCATAATTCCGTTCACAATCACGCGTAAAATTTTTATATTTAGAACCGATCCAAAAAAGGCCAGCTTCACAATTTCCGAGGAAATTCTAAGGGAACTTAGTACCAACAACACACAGTGAGTTATTAAAATATTTTTAATCGACGTTTGGCGGACGGACGGACGAACATTATACGGCACATTATATTATTCGTATTCGACGAGATCGCTAATTACAATTAATCCGAGCACAGTTTCCTTGACGCACACCAATCCGGATGGGATTTTCTGGACTCATGTGCATATGGTTACTTACCGGAGATACCCGCGTGTACGGATCCGCCGGCGGTGATGTTGTTGAGCATGCCGCTCAACCCCGGGAGCGTAGCTCCGATATGGCACGCGGAAGCGGAAATCCGCGCGACACCGCGAGCACCTCACCCTCAACTCTCCGAGGAATCACGGATAAGAAAAAAAAAGAACTGCGACTGGCGGCGCGACGCACGGGGCCTTCCTGGATGAGTATTTGGGGTGTACAGACGAGCCTGAGGACCGGCCCGTGCCTCAGGAAGGCAAACAGCGAACTGGCCGACTGCCATATCCGAACTCCCCCACTCGCGGCCGGCTTGGAGGGCATATCGGTGTCCCGCTCGTGCCAGGGCGCGCATCGCCGACCTCTCGCTTCCGCCACCGGCTCGCGGGAGTCCCTACTACCTACGCGTTCTCCGCTGGTGGGCGTGATATTAAATCGCTCCTATCCTTCAGATCCAACACCAGGCGTCAGGAAGGTAGCTAGTCGTGGCAGCGCCTCTCTTCGAAAAATCTCCCGCTCAGCTATCGAAATTTTAATTATTCATTTATTATTTGTTTTCAGAAGAAGCAAAATATTAATTATAAAAATATCAAATTATTTTAAACTAGAAATACTTATTATCTACTCTAGAATATTAAAACGGCGACTGATAATGAGGCGGAATTTCAAATCTCGAACGGTGTTTGAATTAATTTATCCCCTCAAGAGAGGAGCTATTGTGTTTATATATCTTCTTCGACTTAAAGTTTGAAAGTTTCCCCTAGAAAATTTATTTAACTATGTTAAGAGTTGCCACGATGTTACACCCGTAGTCATACCGCAAAAGTTAACCACGCGGTCGCCAATCGGTAGAATCAGGGGCGAGTGCGCGTTCGAACACACAGGACACGGGGGTGACAGGACGAGACATCGCTTTGGAAGTCAGAGTAAAAAAAAAATGGGTAACGACGGCCGATGGAGTCGAGCGCAGGAAGCGACGAGGAGTCTCGGACCCCGGAGATACCCCGGTCGTCGGATTTTCCGCCGCCGGGGCCGCAATGGTTGGTAGCCATGCGAGGGTTGCCCATATCCCGAGGTAAACTCTATCCAGGTTACCGTCTCTTTCGCCGTCTCCGCTTTGTGGTAGGCGGTAACCACCGCGAACGCAGCTCCAATGAGCGGGCAGCCCGCCCTCTGGATGCCCCACTAGTTTTCGCGCGGCGGAGATTTATTGAAATTTTATTTTTATGGCCGGCAAGAGCGCGCGCGGGCGCTCGGGCGGCGCGGCAAGAGAGAAAGAGAGAGAGATGAGAGAGAGAGAAAGAGAGAGAGAGAGAGAGAGAGAGAAAGAGAGAAAGAGATACCGAGCGGACGACCGGCCCGAAGGAGACGCGAGAGAGAGCCCTCTTCTTCTCATTTCCTCCGCCTTTCTTCCCCTCCCCCTTCCCGAAAGCCGGAGCGTTTCACTCTATCACCGTCCTCGTCGTCTCCTACCTTCTCTCGCTCCCGCATCGCGGTGTTTCACGTTCCTCTCACGCTACGCTACACTTTTCCACCCTCGCACGCGCGCGCGCGCGCGCTCGCTCGCGCTCTCGCCGGAATCTCGCCCGGCCGCGATCTCGCTTTCTCGCTGGCGGCCCACCTTACTCGCTCTACGTCCTTTTAATTCAATAGCTACCCCTTTTTATAACGCGGCAGCAGCCCCGTGCAGCGCGAACGGAAGTCACGATGGCTCCTAACACTTTGCTTGACCCGCCAACGCGGCGCGATCTCGCGATCCTTATACATGAACGGGCATTCTATCCTATTTGCGACGATCACGAGGGATGCGTGTAACGCGGTAGTTTTGTAATTACGCTGCGTAATGTTCATGTTAATTTATTAAAATCTCAGATTCGCTCTAAGTGGTCACGTTTGCTTTTCAGTCCGTATGAAAAACAGACGGAAACAGTTATGTATTATTACCACTTCGTATTATTAGTAACTATAATTTATTAACACCTTATATAATTGATACTTATTATTAAATTGCCCCGCGTCCAAAACAACCACTGTTTAGTAAATTTTATGTCTACATACAATGTTAAAAATTATATAATTTTTATTTCCAGTTATAAGTTTTAATATAATTATTTATTTTAAAACTAATACTCTTTAATGTTACATTTTGATACATATACTTTCATTTTATTTAAATGTATATTCTAAATTTAACCAATTTAATCTCCATGAGATATTAATTCCGTAATAAATTAAATTTTCTTGTAATATGGATCAGATCATTAATATTTTTCATAGTTCTATTAAAGTAACTAACATTCATAGAATATGGACTATTCTGCTTTTAGTGCATTAAATGACTTATTAATATCACAAATTAATATACAGAGTATTCCACTTCTCCATTAAATTAAACTTTAATGACAAATTCTTTCATGAATTTGAAGTCGCGTTTACATCGGTAATTTGTACTAATCGCCGTGTACATTAGTAATTTGCAAACAATAATAGCTAATAAATTAATATTACATCGATATTGTATTGTAATTCACTTTAGCAATAATTGTTACTCTTTACAAACTATAGAAATCTCGAGTTAGATGTCTGTTTTTTTTAACTGTATTACTATATATATATATAATAAGCATATATTACGAAAGTAATAACAATTACTTTCGTAAACAAATAAATTGAAGCTAATAGATAGATATAGAAATGACATTTATAATGGATTACAAAAATTATTTCATTATTTTGTTATCTATTAAAAAATAATCTTTACAATTTATCAAAACATAAATATAACGATCGAAATTCAAAATGTATAAACATGTATAATGATATTTAATTTTCTCTCTTTGTGATAATATGAATATCTATATGTTATTTCTAATGTATATACATACATATATATATATATATATATATATATGTATATATATATATATATATGTATATATATGTAAACATTAGAAATATGTGTGTGTGTGTGTGTGTGTGTGTGTGTGTCTCCGTACACATCATACATATATACATATACACAATATACATATATACACAATAATTAAAGTCTGCATTAAATAGACTTTCGAAAAATGTTCTACTGCTTTAGGTGAAATGAATAAATATCTCATAACACATTTTATTCTCAATAAAATAACGCAAAGGATTCTCGAATTTAAATTACACAAATGAAAATAAGGCTGATGAGAATCAGAGTGGTTATTAGTATTAAAAAATGAATATATTGACCATTAAACATACATTACAAAATCAAATATTTTATTCTTTTATTTTATTCTGAATGCTTCTATTGTTAATACGATAGAATAATATATAAACATTTTTATATTATTGGGAGATATATAGCTGGTTAGAAATGTCTTTTCTTGGTGCTCTTAAAAATCTTATTTTATTTCATTCCAAATATATTGTTAATATTAATAGTAGAATAACAAAATTTTTATTATTGAGAGATATAGCTAGCTAAAAATGTCTTCTGTGCCTTTGAAAACATACGTAGACAAGTGTCAGGAAAAGAGTAGCAAGCTATGCATTCTACATTACGTATAGTCGTGTTGTTCGTAAGGGACGTGCATGCCACATATAGCCACGATTGCTTCTTGCGCGAAAGGCGGGACAAGGGGATGGTCAAGAAATTTAATAAACACGATAAAGTAGCTTCGCCAAAGTTCTCTCATTAATTTAGGACTAATTGACGACGGTTTTAATTGACAAAATTTAATATTCCTCGCTCGTATGCCTCGCGTCTTTTAATTATAGGAACGTTGCGTTTGTTGATATAATTTTCTATTCCCGATTTTTTTATTCAACAATGTTCGAATTTTTCTATCTCACTCCACACATAACGTTTTTATTCATTTTTATTTATGGTCAAATGTATTGTTCTCTCTGTTGTTGGATAATTGGGAAAATTTCGAAGTATACATTTATGGTAATGCAAAGGGAGACTTACACAATAACCATTTTATCGAGCGCGCAAAGAAGCACCGACGAATATAACGGAGATGTAATTTTTAATTATACTTTTCAGGTAGCGCGTCACACACCGCCTCTTGCGGACTCATTTTTCGTTTATTTGCATCACATATCCACCGCCGCTAATGAGCGCAGACGCAAAACGCTCGAAAACATCGTAGTCGGCATATGCAAATACATAACTAATTGGATTAAAGATAATTAACGTCGCCGGTCCGAGTATTCGATCACAGGGCCGTCCCCGAGAAATTTCGACTATATTGCGACAATATTCGCAAACACAATATGAACGGTATAACCAGCTGGTGTAACCAGTGGCGATGATCGCTGCATATAATTGCAAAAATACCGTGGAATCTCCCCCTGTAATGAAATAGATATCACGCGGAATGCGCTGCTCGCCCGTACGGAATTCTCAGTCACGTCATACTTCAAATGTACCGCGTTTGTGGTTCTCATTTTCAATGTGATCACGATATTCAGGCTGGCGCAAGATCGCTGGTCATCAGTAGTGAATAAATTAAATTTGCTCTTTTTTTGTTATCACTTTCTTTTCCATGTTGCGCGATCTTATTGTACTTTTCAGAGGAAAAATTCCTCGAATTATGAAATAAATGATTCATTTCATGTTAAAACTAAACATTTTTTAATTTATTTATGATGCTTACGAGAAATATGGATATATCGTAAAGAAAAAAAAATAGATAAAATGTATCTTTTTATATATCTTCTCGCATAATACGTTCTTTGGAATATAATAAACATTATAAATATTACGTTAAACGTTATTAATATAGTTAGCTCTCTTAATTATTTTTATATATTATTTATTTCTAAATGACAAACAAAAATTTATCACGTTGTTGAAAAATATGCTTAAGAAAGGAAGTAAAAAATATATCAAAGCGTCGATGAAATCAGTGGCGAAAGAAGTTATTTGTCCGTAAAATATGAAGTAAAATAAACACAAAAGTGTGATGAAAATAACTTCAATTGAAATCTCTATATACAATACATATACATATATGTATTTATTTTTTTTTTCGAAAATCATCAGAGACATTAATATATATG